AATAAAAAAAAAATATCTCATTTCGATATGGATGAAATTTTCTCGGTTCGCGCACATCAACGACACACCCGGCGCTAGGGCCCTCCATCACCGTAGAAATTTCATTTCAATTTCGAAAACCAGTTTAACGCGCGTCGACAGCCAACCTCTCATTACCATCGCTGGCTAATCCACTCGCTGGTTTCGAACGCCATTATCGCAAATTAGCCGGGAAAACAAACATTTAATCCTCTAAACGAGCTCTCGAATAACCCCTCTCTTCTCGTTTCCTTGTGCACAGCTGCTGCTGCTGTGTGCCGTACAATTAAAAGCTACGGGCTGGCTAATCGGACTGGTCTCGTCGCGAGGAGTGGTCGACTGGTTGCGTCGACTCGACGAATGAGAGACTACGAATCGGAGGTAATGCCTCGCGAGTCATGGGGTGCATAGCCGAGAGAGAGAGAGAGAGAGAGAGAGGGAGGGAGAGAGAGGAGCCCTCGGGGAGACTAACGAGCATGTGGAGGCTTGTTAACGCGAGAATGCAAGGTAGCCCCCGTGCTAACGAAATTTAAGGAGCTGACTGGTGGTAACGAGTTAGGGTAGAGGACCAGCGACACTCTTGATTCAGAGATCTAGAGGTTTGAGAAGGGTAGAGTACGCTGGGTATATTTAAACTTCTCGCCCTATGTCCTCTGGATTGCAATATTTCGATAAAAAGAAATGGTTAACCTCGGTGCAGTCTTTGGGTCCTTTTTGACCCATCGCCTTCTAATTTTTTAAATAAAATCTACCGTTGCCAAATTTACGTTCCCTCAGCAACGTATCGAATGTTTATTGTCTAGGTTCGTAACGAAAATTGTTACACGTTAGATCTTTGGGTCAAAAAAGACCCAGTCGAACGGAGGAACGCACAAGGGTCGATTTGCTTCTGAAATAACTTACGCCAAGCAAGAGGCGCATCGGGTAGCCGAAGAATAACGATATCCCCAAGGAATATTCCCATCATCGGCAATTCATTTGTCGGCTCGCGAGTCACTCCCACCCCTTTAATTCCCATAAATGACAATTTCCATTGAAGGAAGCCGTAAAAGGTTTTGCGCGCGGGTACATGTTGGACAGATAGGTACTATCCCGGGTAGGATTCGATCGGATTAGCATAGGTTTCCGCGTTCTCTCGTGGAAAAGGCGCGTCGTGAATCCGGAATTACTCGGTAATAAATTTTACTTCTTCGAACAAGGGTGGCGGATAGGGGAGTAGGCGGGGAGGAGAGTAGAAAAAAGAAAAGAAGGCGCGCAGAGGCGAGAGAGGAGCGATATTGCGGCGCGGCGAACGAGAACGATACTTAATAAGCGACTTCCTAAAGCAGTCGAATGCAAACACGTCGCCCATAACGGCACGTCCATAGCTTCATTAAAGAATATGAAAGGAAAAAGAGGAAAAAACGAGAAAGGAAGAACAGGTAATTCGTGATTACCATCGACCGATACGAATGAAAGTTTTTAATTGGCGCGGACGTTAGATCGGTTGAGCAACGTGCAAAAAGAGATTAATATCGATCGCGCGCGAAGACGCGTCTTGAATAATTATTAAACTACAAAAGCTACAAGTGTAAGACAACCTTCTTGTACATAGATCACCTATCGATTACAATTTCTTCTTCTCTCCCCTTCTTTTTTTAATTCTTCGATAATCTGGCGAATCGTGAGGAAGGAAAATTTGGTGGAAAATGATTTTTAAAACTCGTGCAAGTTAGTTACGTGTCACGGATCGATGTTGACGCACTTTAAAACTTCACCTGGCCGACGACGATTTACGAGCTGACATTTTTTTTTCCTCGCTCGCCTCCTATCCGCTGAAAGATCGGCCCATAATGAGGCTTAACGATCGCCTCGAGAGCACGTTGACGCGCACCCAAGCTCCTCACGAACCCGACGAAAAATGAATACGTGATTCACGGCGCGCATGCACGCCACCGTCGTCGTTCCTCTCCGCGTGGTGAAAAACCGGCGCACAAGAGGAATCGATATTCGCGCCGTTAAACCGCGTCCCTCTCGACGCAAGCCGGACATGTCTGCATCTCTCTGGCTCTCCTCTTCCCTTCCGCTTCCTCCTTCGATCGTTCGTTACAATTCTACTCTGATTTCGTTGGGTCGATCGTTTCGCGAGAAATCTCTCCGACTTACACGCAGAAAATGGAATAAAAGAGCCTCGGGAAAAAGGGTAAATTGAGAAATGAATCGAGAATTTTTCGTATCGTTTAAAATTTGCCTGACAAATATTGTTGCACAGAAGATGAAACGCGTATTTGGTGATTTCAATCGAAACTCATTGCCACCGCAAGTTGCGCCACGTCCATACTAAGCACCGAAAGGGTTAAAAGCGTATTGTAGGACACGCTCGACCACTTAGTGTGGCTCTAAAACGAGTCAGGGATGAAATGAAGGCTACGGTGAAAGAATAGTTGGCCGGTTTCTCTCTTTAATCTAAATTACTCCGATGCAAAGTGGCTCGCAGTCAGAGCGCACGGTCTGACTGTGCGGAATCCGGCTACATCGTTCCTCAATTCCGCGCAAATAAATATGTATGAGAGTGATGAAAAATTATCGGCGGAGAAAAAGGAGAAGAAAAAAAAGAAAGAGAAAAGAGAAGAATCGCCTCGATCCTTTGGTCGATTAATAATGCACGCGAGGATCGTTCGCGAGGCATTAGCCCCGTTCCCCATAACTCGCCGCTAAAGATGAAATTGGATAGATAGGCCTATACAATGTCTCGAATGGGCATTGTTACAACGGCGTATTACCGTAATAGCGGCGATCATAGGATCGTTGCCTCGCAATTGATTTATCCACTGGCCGGGAAATGATCGTGGCCACGGAACAACGATCGAAGGGGAGTAACAACGGAGCGAGAAAGATGGAATACAGTGGGCGAACGATCGTTCGAGTCGCCGGTATAGCAATAACTGAAACAAGAAAAGAAGAATACGAAGGAGAAGAAAGACGGGTGTACGCGAGACAGGGACGATCGAATTGGCGAGGACAAACTCTGGTTCGCGGGAGATTGCGCGAGGAATCGGCGAGTTTCGAGCGAAGAAAAATAGACGAAGCAACCCCCTTAAGGGTGGGGAGAAAGTGAGAGAGAAAGAGAGAGAGCGAAGGTGGTAGGAGCTAAGAGCCGGATCGCCTGAGAGCAGATAGAGGAATCAGAAAGAACAGGCGGAACGTGCTGGGGACAGGAGAGCGAGAGAGGTGAGCGAGATAAAACGGAACGAGTGAAAAGCAGACGAAGAAGAAGACAATCTGGAGAGAAGCCGGCGCGATAAACGCGGCAGGAGGGGATAAATCGACCACGGGCAGGAAGAAGACGAAGACCGTCCGGCTAAAAAGGACAAGCGAACGCACAGGGGCAGCGTACTGGATCACCAGCGGACGGAGAGCAGATAGAGGAGCCCCAGAAGTAAAACGGAGAACGTTTTCGTTCAGGTGGAACGAAGAGGTGGTCGAGAAGGAAGAGAGAGGGTTACGGATAAACACGAAGAGACTGGAGGTCTGCGACTGCGGGTTAGGTGGGGACTAGCAGCAAGTCTCGCGTCAAAGGAGGGATAGACAGAGGTAGAAAGAGGGTTCGAGTTGAAAGAAGAGAGCGGAACCGGTCGGAAGAGGGGAAGCCAGGTTCTCGGTTGCCTATCAGCAGTTCTTCCGTCGGAGTGGTGGAAGATTGGGCGTTACGGCTTGGCAAGTTCTCACTGCAGCCGGCAGATGTCGAGTAGTCGCGCCCCTAGACAGGGTCTTCACCCCTGAAAAGGTCAGCACAGGGGCGTAGCAGCTGTGGAATCGACGCCCAGGAACGCCCATCGTCGACCCTCCCGCCGCTTCCTCGCCGCAGACGCTTCGCGGCAACCAACTGGACAACCAGCCCGGCCTGGATCCACAGCGTCGCACAACGGTCCCGTTGAAACCCGCGTTTACCAGCGCCGTGCAGGAACTCCACGTTTCCAACCGATCG